CCCTGTTCCCTATCCCAGGGCTGTCCTGTCCCATGTCCCCCATCCCAGGGCTGCCCTGTCCCATGTCCCCTATCCCAGGGCTGTCCTGTCCCATGTCCCCCATCCCAGGGCTGTCCTGTCCCATGTCCCCCATCCCAGGGCTGCCCTGTCCCATGTCCCCTATCCCAGGGCTGTCCTGTCCCATGTCCCCTATCCCAGGGCTGCCCTGTCCCCTGCCCCTAACCCGGGGCTGCCCTCCCCTTCCCCATCCACGGGTCCCTGTCCCATGTCCCAGGGCTGCCCTGCCCTTCCTGAGCTGTGAGTCTTGTGTCCCCTTGTCCCCAAGGCCTGGCTCTGCCCACAAAGCCCATCCAGTGCTCCTGGCAGCCCTGAGGTGTGGATGTGATCCCAGAACATCCACTCTCTGCACATCCCTGGTCACTGTGCTGAGATGGGAGAGGGTGCAACCCTAACAAGCCCCTGATCTGTTGCCAAGGCTCTGGAGGCTCCAGTCCCCAGGCAGAGCCTTCCTGTGTTGGGAATGTGGTTCTGGCAGGGGCTGGGAGAGAGGAGCCAGCCCTGCTGCTGCAGCAGCCCCCCACAAACCCTGAGCCCTCTCTCCTGCTGCAGGGGGACAGCGGGGGTCCCCTGGTCTGCAAGGACAAGAGAGCCGACTACTTCTGGTTCGTGGGAATGACCAGCTGGGGAAAAGGCTGTGCTGGGGCCAAACGACCCGGGATCTTCACCTCCACCCAGCAATTCCACGACTGGATCCTGCTCCAGATGGGATTGCTCCCAGCAATAACAGCTGCTCCAGCTCCAGAGCCAACCACTACCTCGACTCCTGAGCAGAATCCAGAGCCAGAGTCCAGCCTGACCCCTGTGGAGATGCCAATGGAGTTGGACAATTTTACACCCATTTCAATCCAACAACAGATACTGGGGCAATTCTTTAACCTGCTCCTGGAGCTCCTGCAGTTCCTAAAGGGAAAAAAGACTTGAACAGTGGGATGAGCAGATCCAGTTCTGGCTGCAGTGGATTACAATGATTCCCTGTTGGGACCAAAACCATTCCCTGGTGGGACCACGACTGTGGGGCCAAAAGCAGCCCCAGTGCCCAGGGCTGCTCTGTGCTGCCCATGCTCCTCCCCTGAGCCCACCTCGATGGTGAAGTTCAGTGTCTTATTGAAATAAAGTTGTTTGTGTTCCCCATTTACCTTGTTTTCAGCCCAATTCAGTCTCCTGTATAAAGTAAGGATGAGAAAATCGGGGAGGCAGGAGAGAAAATGAGCGGGACTGGCCCCTGTTTGGGGAGGAGACAAGGGCAGAGACAGGGAGGAGTAGAGAGGGGGGGGGGGTGGCTGAGCCCGGCTGGTGCAGAGAAGGGGCATCAGCACCAGTCCCACACACAGACTGCTGGCTGGCTGCTGCTGGCACTGAGCCCTGCACCCAAACCCCACAGGCTGCTCCTGCGGCCCAGCTTTCCCACGGCACAGCCTCAGGTGTCCCATTCCTGGGAAAAGCCAGTTCATAAAGGAGCGGGGCAGCAACAGGAGCAGCTGGAGCGGGGAGTCCTGGAGCTGCGAGGGCCGTGGAGGTGCTGGAGGATGCCCACCCTGAGCTGCTGCTGCCCAGCCAGGCGTGTCCCCTCTGCACCGAGGTGCTGCCCCTGGGGCTGCCGGGACCCCCCATCCCACCCTCCAGCCCAGGGGGGATCTCTGGATCCGGGATGTGCCCTCTGCTCCTCCTGGATCCTGTGAGATCCACCTCCAAGGAGCTGTGGTGGCTCTGAAGAAGCTGCTGGAGCCTGGTCCCTCCTGGGACATGTCACAGTCCTGTCAAAGGCTGAACATCCCACACAGAGCACAGGCCCTGTCCCGCATTCCCGGCAGGGTTGGGGGTCT